TATATTTCCAACCTCCTGATAGTAGTTTCAGCAGTGGGATGTACCACTAGCATCTAAAATTCTGTATGTCTAAAATTGAACTTGCAACTAATAGGTCCTAATTGATACATTGGCTGCACCTATTTAGAACACATCTTAAATTCCATGTTCTCCTTAAAAACTTTCCCTAATGTATCCATCTCAAAATTAATCCCCTCCTCCTGTATTTATTCTTTGTACTATATACACTGACACTTAATTATATTCAATTGAAAACTAAATTATAAACATGATTAAACTGCTCACTCATCATTTTATGTGTACAAGCCTTCTCAATAGGAGGGTAAGAACCCTGAAGGCAATGATTTTGTCATAGCCTTTAAAATACATACCTCTACAGTAACCTGCACAAATTTCAACACAGAATGGGTACTGACTCAAGAGGCCAAACAAAGGGCAGTAGTGACACAAGCCAGCAAAGACTACCGCAATATTTCAGGCAAGAAGCAAATATGATTCAGCAGTTTCATATCTTGATAGAATCCCTTCAGAATTTAAGGATGATTGCGGTATAACCCTGGCAAAGGAAATAAATGATTCGGAAAAGTAAAGTACTTTGTGGGAATTTGGAGTCATGGTGGTCTCATTACAGATCCAGGGTTAGTTCTCTGCTAATCCAGGAACTTGATTGTATCTGTTTACTCAGAGGATTACTTCATGCCAACCAACTTCTCAGGAGGATTAATGACAAACCAAGATGACCATTTATTCACCAACAACAGAAAATAGGCCTGATTTGAGATCCTAGGTCACCTATCCAGGACAGTCCCTCCTGATGGGGAAGCCCATCCTGCAGTCCAGACCAACCAGAAGGTAAAAAGGGTCACCTAATTAGAAAGAGCTGGCAGTGTTCAAGTGGATTTTCCGTTAAACAAAATGAACCAACCGTCTACCCTTCTTCTGGGGATAAAGGCCAGGCATTTTGTGATGCCACTTTAATAAATATCAGGACACAAGATGTGCTACTTTTCTATGGCTCTTGTCGTAACTGACTCCAGGCAGGTAAATTCCAATCCATTCCCCATCATATGTGAGCATGACAATCACTTAAGACTGAGGCAATTTTATCCTCCATTACAATTACAATCACAATATATCCCAGTTTGTGCCACTATAATTATACAGCTTGACCAACTTTGAGTCAAGTTTCTGTTTTAATGAAAATAGCATATTCAGGTAGACACAAAGGAAAATACAGGCAAATATTCAGAGAACTTCTAAGCCCATAGAACTTTCTGTGATGATAGAAATGTTCTATATCAGTTTCATAAATCAATGTTCTATACAGTAGCTACTAGCTACATGTGCCTATTGAGCATTTCAAATGTGGCTACTATCACTGAGGAATTTAATTTTTAATTTTATTTAATTTTAAGTAGTTTAAATAGTCACATGTGGTTAGTGGCTACCATATTGGACAATATAGTCCTAGATAATGGAAAGAGAACTCTGAATTACTCCTGCATTGGTCAACAAGTGAAAGCCAGAGATTCATAAACATATGGATAGTAGGATTTTTGTCAAGCATAAATTTTGCCACAAATTAAGCCTTCAAGAGTCAAGTAATATTGATTCAGATAGTTTTAACAAGCAAGGCATTATTGTGCATTTTGTCTCCTTCATTCCTTAAATGTGGGGTTCCACAAGCTTTTGTCCCCTTTTGAGGTTTCACCCACTTCTACTACTTTGTTGTAACTTCATTTAGCATCCAATCTGCTTTATATTCCCCACACAAGATTTGTACTTTAATTGTGAAATGAAACCATTTGTTTTTGCTCAAAGTGCCTCCCAATTTTATCTAAAAGGTGACTTTCTAGGTGCAAATGCCTGTTTAGAAGTGCCTGCAGAGGAATATTCCTGAGTAACTAAGGTGATCTTTAGCATCACCTGGAATGATGAGGGTCGTCCAGTCTACAAGGTTTGCAGCTAGAATGGTAAATTTCCTTCTTCAGGCACTTCTTGGAACATGAGAATATATTCCACCCATGAGGCAGAACCCTGAGGCATAGTGACTTGAAAATAATTAATGATCTGGGCATAGAGTTCAATTCTTATCCTGGATTCAAGGAAGATGAGACAGACAGTACAACCATGACCAGGGCCTATATTTTCAGAAGCATGACTCTTATAGTGAGCATTTCTTCTCCTTTGTAGCACTGTGTCCTCAAATATTGTTTGGAAAACCATTCCTCCTCCATTCTCAGCTAAATGATTTAAGTGGGATTAACTCCAAATCTAGCTCCAGCCCTAACTGGCCTAATCCAATCAGCATAGCCCATCCTTTTCGCCCCAGGGATTGACAACTAACCCAATTAGTGCCAAAGGGTACTAGAGAATTCTATGAAGCAGTACCTTCCTCTTTCTTCCTGGGATGCTCCTGAGAGAGATCCTCTATCTTTCCCTGGGTAATGGGGTGGATCCAAGCCATTCTGCAACCATGCGGAGAGAACCTACAGCTGCCTAGGTATGAATGAGGTGGAATACCAAAGATTAAAGAGAGCCAAGAACAGAGAGGAAGTAGGCGCCTTCTGAAGTCTTTTGAGCTGCTGGATCAAGCCTTGCCTAAAGCGAGCCCTGCTTCTGAACTTTTCCATATGAGCCAATAATAGGTGCTTTTAAGTCAATGCGTGTTGAATTTTCTGTTACTTGCAGTCAAAAGCATCCTAACTGATAGGGTTGTGGAGAACAGAACATGGTTATAGCAAGAGGAGACACAAGGTCAAAGACATTTTTACTTTTCAGACAAAAGAGACGTGTTAAAAGAAAGGAGCCAGCAGAAAAAGAGATTGAAGACATGGAAAAGAAGAGCAATAATCAATAGAGTAATGCTTCTGAGTAATAGAAGAAACAGAATATAGAAGGAGCTTTAGAAGGAAATGCCCCGCAGTACCTGGGACATACTAGGCACTCAATAAATATTTGTCAAGTAAATAGATTAATGATTTGGAATATTCTGAAAACTCCTACATATCGACAACTTGTTTATAGATGGCTGTATTTTTCCTCATTTTGAATCTTACAAAGTCATTCTCAGTGGGTCACCCTAACTTCAGCTTTGGAATACCTTCTTATCATGTACATGTATTGCTTATTTCAAGAAAACATCAGACATAGAAAAAAGTCCCTGATCCTGAATCTTTTACATGATTTTTGGGCTTTTCTTTGTCCAGACCAGTTTTTCAAAATGAGATCAAACCATATCTTTGAGGAATCACCATGGGTATTTGTTAAAAATGTATATTCCTTGGGCTCATCTACTGAATCAGACTCTGTCTGCATTTTAACAAGCTCTAGGTGAGCTTCTCAGTAAAGTTTAAGAACCACTGTATTAGGTTGTAAACAGGAATAGTATCTTGCTCACCTTTGTTTTCTCAGCACCTGGTTCAGTGCCTGGGCACAGAGGTGGTGCTCAATTGAAGGTCTGACACATGAATGTGTGAATAAGTGTAAATAATGTGTAAGAATTTAAATTATGGGATTCACGTGTGTTAGCGGCTCAGAGTATGTTACAATCAGTTGTGATATATATCTCAAGTAATGAGTAATTAATCACACTTAAAAATCAAAGTTGGTAAATAATTACAAAAAATAAGTTTAAAGATATAAGGTTATCCCTATGGCAACATCCTTTTCATTCCTTGGCATTTTGATGTGCTTCCCTGAGTGCTTTTTGAGTACGGAGGACACTTCAGGGTATGTGCATATCGAATATAGACAGCATCTGTTATGTGTGCTGAGATAGGAACAAAAGGTTATGAACCATGGAGCTATATGAGAGAGGCCAGAGAGAGGGCAGACATTAAAAAAATTTCAAATCAGTTCCCATTTACCAGGAAGGAACAATTAAATACAAAGAAACCCATGTTTCCCATTAAATGAGTATTCAACATGTACAACTTAGTCATAGAATTTAGGCCTATGGTAGTAGACACGACCTTGTAGTTATATACAGCAGTTTCTCACACTCCCTTATGCTGCATTGGCCTAGCAGTTAAGTCAGACATTCTTGGGAGAGTCTACGTTACAGGCTTATACATGTTGGACAATCCTGTTTGTGGATATGTTTACATGTGTTCCCCAAAAGATCTGAAACAATAACAACAAACTGGTCGTAGGAGTTCTCGGAGAATTATATTGGGAGAATGGAAGTGAGGGCTTCTTTTTTACTTAATATACTTATGTATTTGGATTTATTTACAATGGGCACATATTAATTTAAAAAAAAATTTAAGAGCTAGGAGTGATTGGAACATGCCCCACATTACCCCTCCTCTCCAAATTACACTTTACAGAACATAGAAACATGTGTGGCACTTACTGGTGTCCAAAATATGTTTGTTGAATGAATAAAGAGCCTAGAGGAGATATTAAAAAAAAACTTTGGCTTTAAGCTCTGTCCTTAACACAGCTGAAGTTTGCCTTCTTCCTCTCCTTTTGATTTCATTTTTTACTCTTTTTTCTCTTCTCTTTTTCCTCTCCTTCTCTTCCCTCTCTAAAAACAAACAAACAAGCAAACAAAAAACAGTGCAGCAAAGGAGCACTGTTGACTATACTACCTTCTAGTACTAATATTAGGAACCAAAGAGGTACATGAGAATA